AGATGGATAGATGGATGGATGGATTGGTGGGTGGGTGGACGGACGGACGGATTGATAGCTAGATAGATCTATAAATAGATAGATAAATAGATAGACAGACAGACAGACAGACAGACATACAGACAGATAGACAGACAGACATACAGACAGACAGATATACAGACAGACAGATAGATAGCGAAGCGCGATAGAGAGAGAATAAAAGATAGGAAGAACGAAACAGGGGAACAAACAGAAAATAACAATAACGCGTCCGATTTCGCTCATGACTGTTTCAGATACCGTCGAGCTGTAGAGCCGTATAGAGGTACCGTACCCTCAGCATGGAGACACTCATACATAAGGAGCTTGCCACTAACGTGTTCCGCTCGTTCGGCTCAGCTGGCGGAGGAAGCATCAATGACGGTCACGGTTACACCGTAGACGGCGGCAAGCAAGTGTTCGTAAAATTAAACTTCAAAGATGAGGTGAGGCTCTATTTATTTACCCCCTCCCCCATATCTCGTCCTTTTGCGCGCGCGCTCTCGCTCTCTCTCTCTCCCTCTTTCTCTCTCTCTCTCTCTTCTCTCATCTCTCTTCTCTCTCTCTTCTATTCTCGCTTTTCTCGCTCGCTCTCTCTCTCTCTCTTCTCTCTCTCTCTCTTTCGCTCCGCCTCGCTCGCTCTCTCGTTCTCTTTCTCTTTCTTTCTCTCTTTCTCTCGCTCTCTCTCTCTCTCTCTCTCTCTCTCTCTTTCTCGCTTTCTCGCTCGCTCTCTCTCTCTCTCTCTTTCGCTCGTTCGCTCGCACCCTCGTTCTCTCTCTCTTTCTTTCTCTCTATCTATCACTCAATCTCTCTCTGTGTTTGTATCTAAATCTCTTCATCTTAACGTCTCTCTTTACACCGTAACTCTAACCGCTCTCGCTTTAGCTTCTTTCTGCTGGCGTGTATTATATACATTGATATTTATTTTTTTCACCCCACTTCCTATACCGCTTTCTCTCTACTCCCCGAGCGAGCTACTCTTTCATGCAGGTCGGTTTCCTCGTTTCCGTTCGATAGCTTTTTGTAGAGGCATTTTCGCTTTTTTGACGAAGAGCATTAAACAGATTGGCTTCCTTGCACACAGACGCCGCATGCACACACACACGCGCACGCACTTATGCACGCACGCACATAGACGCGCGCACATAGACGCGCGCGCGACTACGCACGACCACCTATTATCCCACCACTCGCCCGGCCGCGAAATTTTTTTTCCCACGAGAGTTCCGGACCCACCACAGATAGTGTTTTGTAATATATGGTGCGTATATAAGACGGACCTGGTTGTATTATAGTTAGTGTTAGGGTTAGGGTTAGGTTTAGGGTTAGAGTTAGGTTGTATAAATTTTGCATTGTTGCTTCGAGGTAGTCGAGTGAATGGAGTGCGCTGATTGGCTGGGGTCCGGAACTCTCGTGGGAAAAAAAATTTCGCCGCCCGGCCGCCCGCCCGCCCGTTCGCCCGCCCGCACGCACGCACGCACGCACGCACGCACACACGCGCGCGCGCACATAGATGGACAATCCCTCAATGTTGTCAATCCCTGCGTACGACCATACTGATCTGCCTAGCACCTCCTTTAGTTTCACTCTCTCTCCCCCTTTCTTACTGTCTGTCTCTCTCTCTCTCTGTGTCTCTCCCTCTCTCTTTCTCTCTCTCTCTCTCTCTCTCTCTCTCTCCCTCACTCTCTCCCTTATCCTCTCTCTCCCTCTCTGCCTCTCTCTCTCTCTCTCTTGCCCATCTCTCCCTCTACTCTTTTCTCTCTTTCTCCTTCCCCTTCATGCGCGGCGGATAATCAATGTTTCTCTCAGCAGTAACTCTTCCGGATCGATCCAGCGGCAATCACTCACGCTTGCACTTCTTTGTCCCCAACTTCTCCATTTACGACACGCATCTTCCTCCCCTCGCGCCTCTCTCGCCCACCATCGCCCGCGAGCTCGAGAAATAGCAAATACCTTATATACTATAGTACTACATATATATATATATATATATATAGGGTCTATAGTATATAGCACTATAGTATATAGGGTCTTTGGAAATAGTAACGGGCGTACGAGTCCGTGTGACATCTATGACGCATCTGTATGGCTGTAACCGTGTCGTTAGCGTGCGCGTGTATATTAAGTGCGTTTCGCAGGCATTCTAATGGGGCGATCATTCGTATTTACACGGCCATTGTGATCTCCCGAGCGTTACATACAGCAAGAGCGTCTGACGGCGACTGGTGATGACAGAGGCGAGCACGTGGGGAGAGAGAGGGGGGATATATATATATATATATATATATATATATATATATATATATATATAGAGAGAGAGAGAGAGGAGGAGAGAGAGAGAGAGAGAGAGA